TCCGGTACCGGGAACCGAACTCACAACCTTGCACTTGCCAGGCAGGAGCTTTGCCGCTGAGCTAAATCCCCAGCCCCTACTGGTACATTTTAGATACACATATTGATCACATTCATCATAGGGAATTTGTATCTATACATGATATATTTTGATTCTTCCCTCCTTATTTACAAAAGCTTTGTTTGCATTCGTTTCTTTTCTCTTTTTCCTTCCTTCCTTACTTCCACACCCTTGCCTTGTTCCCTTTCCATTTAAACATTATATTCCTACTTCACAGTATCCATTATTCATCAGTTGTTGGCCATTTGGGCTATTTCCAAGATTTAGCTATTACAAATTGTCCTGCTATAAACGTAGGTGTGCACATATCACTGTGATATGATGCTTTTAATTCTTTTGGAAAGATACTCAAAGGGGAATAGCTGGGTCAAAAGGAACCTCTAGTTTTAGTTTTTTGAGGAATCTCCACACTGATTTCTACAGTAGTTTTACCAATCTATACTCCTGCCAACAGTGAAGAAAGGCTCCATTTTCCCCACAGCCCTGCCAGCATTTGTTATTAGTTGATTTCCTGATGTCATTCTTTCTGGAATGAGATGGAATCTCAGTGTTGTTTTAATTTGCATCACTCAAATGACCAGTGATATTGAACAGTTTTTCATGTATTTATTTGCTGTTTCTACTTTTTCATCTGAGAAGTGTCTATTCATTTCAGATGCCCATTTTTGGACTGGGTGTTTTAAATTGGGGCATCTGATTTTTTTTAGTTTTTTTTTATATATTCTAGATATTAGTCTTTTGTCTGAGGAACAGCTGGGTATCTCTGGGCAGCAGAAGAGAGGTACAGAAGAGGTTTCAGCACTCCTCCTCCATACCCACACCCTCTGTTCTTCCTGGACTCTTATAAGCTATGCCAAATTGTTTTGCAAGAATGATCAGACTCAAAAACATAAAAGAAATGTTTGGCATTTATTAGAACTCTTCAGGGAAGAAAAGAATCCCCATCAGACAGAGACTGGGAACCATGTCACACCTGCACTGCTTACTGTACCAAAATTATAGGTTTTATTGTACAACATTCTCCCGCATCTCTATAAGATATGTGCTGATACACAGTGCAGAGAACAAAATTTGAGAGCAGAAAAGAGAAACTGATATCACACTTGGAAGAAATGGGGGAACTTTATAAAACAACAAAACTTCAAAGGCCCCATTTGATAGAGTACTAACAACAATCAAAATGAAGATGGCTATATATTTTAAACCAAGGGAATCACATTACTTGTTGAGAAGAACAATTGGGGATTCCTAAAGGAGTAAAAATTTAATACCTTGTAGGGACTAAAGCATTAAAGGTCTCTAAAGAGGTGTTTCATGTTGAGAGGCAAATCTTCTACTTTTTCTTATGCAAATGCCAATTTCACCATTAAATTGAGATCGGTTTAAGAACTGGGAGTAAAGCACATTTTAATGGTTTTGATCTGATGACTTGAGATGAGTAGGGGAGACAAAAATAACTTCCAAGTTTCTGAGGTGAGCAGTAGGACGAATTGTAGATGCTCATTACTAGGGAAAGTAAAACAAGGACAAGGCTACGTGAGCAGATCTGGAGTTCATTTGGAGCATTTTGAATCTGAAATGGCTGAGAAACTCAAGAGAACATAGCAAATGCGTAGTTCCATACACAAGTTTGTAGCTCAGTACACCTCAGAGATGCAGTCTTGGTTGAATACATGAATATAGAATCTGCCCAACATTGCACAGCTATGGAGAAGTGATGGGGGAAAGAGCAAGTCCTCTGACTCCATTGTTACATTTCTTTGCCTAAGAGTTAGAAATCAGGGAGATGGAAGCTGTACTTTAAACCTAGAATTCTATACTCAGTCTTCCTCTTTAAATACTACTAACAAAGAAAGTCTAGAAATATTATATCTCCTACTATGCTGGATCCAGGAGCAACGCTTTCTTCAAGATAGTCACATTTATTTCTTTACGCTACTACTTCAGCAAATTTCTGTGTCCCACCTTGAAACTTGGCTTTGTTCTATATCTGACAAATGTATGAATTGTGTGAATATCAAATATATAAACACCATTAACCTTTCCCACCAGACTTTTAGGTTACCTGCAAATTAAAAGCCAACTGTATATATTAGTCATTTAAAGTGTCCCCTTGATTCATTGAATTTGTCTGGGATTGTTATCTGTCTAAATAATAATAAGCAATGAACGTAGCATGTAACATATGTATGAAAAGGTAGAGAAATTAGAGAAATGAAGAGAGAAAAGAGAGGCAGAGAGAGAAATCAAATAAATGTCATGTTACGTAGCATGTAACATATGTATGAAAAGGTAGAGAAATTAGAGAAATGAAGAGAGAAAAGAGAGGCAGAGAGAGAAATCAAATAAATGTCATGAGATAGATGGTAGAAGAAACTCCAAAGGTTGCTAAGAAATAGCACCCACAAGTCAGGGCAAATAAGAGTTTTAAGGAGGAACAATAAACTGCTGTAAAAGGATAGTTAGAGGCAAAATAAGTGGTAAAATGTAAAGAATATTTAAAATTTTCAGCAAGGAAGGCTTTAGTGACAAAATCAAAGCCATTTCAGTGAAGCAATAAGCACAGAACCAGATTTCTCTTAGTTGAAGTGAGACAGGGAATCTAGGACTTCAAGAACTTAGATGGGAACCCTAGTTCTAGAAGTTTGTATCCAAAAGGAAAAGCAACGAAACATTAGCCACAGAAAAAGAGTATTCATAAGATAAAAATTTCACAGAATGTCAAATATTAGTTGTGAACCAAGTTTCAGTTTGGGAAAACAATATTCCCTAGTTCCCAGGAATGGAAGACCTCATTCAGCGCCTGCTTCTGTGCAGCATCTCTAACACTGCCATCACCTCATTTTGGTCCCACATCCAGAAATCATCTTCTAGCCCCCAAACTGGAAACATGCCTGGCGTACTCCACTTCCCAACAGCTCTGCCACTTAGAAAGTATTACCCTAATTTCTCTAACAAATTCCTATACTCACTTCCATCCATCTGTGTGGTTCTAGCCCTTCCTGAGGACACTGCATGGTACCAAGCAGACCAGGTTAGTTCTATGGGTACCGAAAGTCACCCTGTTGCCCCTGTCCTGAGCCTTCCATGTTTAGGTGGAGGATCTAAAGATGTCACCTTCATGTTCTCTGAATCATTCAGACTCAATTCAATTGTTACCTCCCCTCTGCAGCTTCCATATTGGGGCTTTCTTCATGTTCTGTACGTCTATTGAACTATCCGAGTGTCATGCTTGCTTTTTTGGCCAGTGCCTTTTCCTGGACTTCATGGCTTTTCAGCTTCCAGCCTAACCTCTCCTGTCCGATGATGATTGCTCACAGATGAAAGACACACACATGAGCAGGAATGCATTTTTATGGGAAAGTGTTCAAGAATAAGGAGGAATTGCTACAAGAGGGGGTGATGTTGTCAATATTCAAACTTCAGAGTAACTGGAAGTGTTTTTAACTGACAAGTTGGAATAGGAGCCATATTCCTTCTTTAAAGTGTTAGAACTAGGTATTTATTCTTATAGATAATTTCAGGCAGCACTTTTGGTTATTTAGGCAGGTTAAGTGCTGAACTTCGTCTTTTCTGCAGCTGTTTCTGCACATCCCTTGATAAAGCTCACATGGATCCCAAAGCTCTTGGTTCCTGTCATGATGGGATCTGAACAGGCCACCTGGGGAAGACAGAGCCATGTTTAGTTTGCATGCAGCAGAAAAGCAGGAGTAAGGAAGCCTGACTACAAGAGAACACACCCTAAGGACATTAAGAGGACAGAGCCTGGAGTTAAAACACTTAGATTCCATTCTGGGCCCTGTCATTGACTACCTCCATCCTTGAGTGCTTCCTCCAGCCCCCTGGCCCTCCACTGCATCATTTTCGCAGCAGGCATGACAACAGATTTAAGTTCCTAAAGTTCTGTACCACTAAATTAGCATATACTGTGTGGCACACTTAGATAGAAAGGCATCTGAATGATTAAATGTTAGATGGCCCTGCTGATTGTCTTTCCTAAAGGTCTAGAGCAGTGATGGCAAACCTCGTAGAGAATGAGTGCCCAAAATGCAATTCCCAAACCCACTTGTTTACCACACAGTGCCAACACTGTAATTAAACCTGAACACTGGGATTTTTAGTTTAGAAAAAACAATTCATACATTAACATCTATTGTCTTAAAAGAAAAACACCATAATAGAGCTTTTGATGATAAAAAAACAGTTTTTTATTGAAAGGTAAAAGTTTGCATTTGGCATGCTTTTGCATAATTAATGTGATCTTTGCTGTTGTATGCATGCTGGCAATTTGTCAAAACTTGGCTGGGGTTACTTGGCTCATGCATCCACAGAGAGGGACACACGTGCCATTGGTTTGCCACCACTGGTCTAGAGTTTCCAAGGCTGCCACTGGGAGCACGTATTGGACATGTTCCTGTGTCCTACAGAGATGTGTACTCCTCGTGCAGCTCATCAAAGAGCCAGGATCTGCTGATACAGGACACACATATTTGCCACATGTGCATACCTGCCTGTATGCTTTGAAACTTAGACACAAACATGTTTTATCCATGTCTGTTTTTACCTGGGCCCCTCAGAAACAAGAAATATGTGTATATGAGCAGCACACTGGCACAACTCATTTTGCCCACAGATCCACATTTACACATAACTGGAGCCATACAGTTGTGTTCTCTGTTAAGATCTCCACCATGTACTTCAACATATGGTGAAAGCCCATCTTAACAGCTATGCAGCAACCATGCAGGCATGTGCAGGTTCTTTGCCTGAAAATACTGAGTGACAAAGTTTCTGACATTTAGTCAGCATTTTAAAAATACTAGTTATCAAGAGCATTAGTTATCTATTGACTCTTTCAAAGACAAAGGAAGTTTTAGAAAATAATATTAACAGTCTCTAACATCCACCATGATGTGGTCCAGCATCCATTATGTAGCAGGCATTCTACAAATACTATTGTACTGAACTTTCACCAAAACTTGTTGTGACCTTCATTCTCTCTGAGGCTCAAGAAAGTACTGTGCTCTGTCTGCATTCCCATAGCTGGTCCCTGACCAAGCTTATACTCAGTGTCCTAGTTACAGGACATCAACCCATGGTCTTTCCTCTGTGTATCACATCCTTTCTCTGTGACAGAACTTCACAGGGAGTCTCTTCCCACATCATGTCTGCAGGAATGGTGCCTCTGCAACTTTCAAAAAACCATCCAAAATCCTTAGTTTAGCATTCAAGGACCTTACAACCATCCACACATGCCCTCACCCCACACCCATTCTCAACCCTCACTGTGCCAGGTCCTCACTGTACTCAGCTCTAACCACAATGAAGTCTCCAGTTAATAAGTAAAACTAGTTCATTATAGCCATTAATCAAAAAAAGTCTGAGATTATTTCCTGCATGGAAATTAAATGGGAAGTTTTGTCAATTTTTTAACAAGAAAAGTAAAAGTTTCCAACTTTAGGTGAAGGTGGAAAACAGGAGGGGAAATAAAGAAGTAAAGAAAAATGCTTCAGTGGAACGCATCCATAGCGCTTGCTCATTGGTGTATATATGAACTATCCTAGAAATCCAGAGAAAGCACGGGATTGCTACATCAGCCAGCCTATTGGTCAGTGCAAGTAAAAGCACTGACCACTGTCCATTCTCCAGCATCATGGTACCACTGTGTACCCCCCTAAGCCCTTAAGCTCATAATGTTCTCTCTCTCTCTGTCTCAGAGGAGACCCACAGAGCCTTCCCAGAGTGACACTACAGTCTTCTGTCTTCTGGACCTGAAGGACTTTTCCTTTCTCCCAAACACCCTGGCTATAAGTTAAGGCATCCAAGCTGTCTTCTCCATAGTCACCAGAAGGATATGTAGGAGCATACACATCAAAAATAAAGACCAAGTAGGCTGCCTTCTCCTTACTCTCTTCACATTGCAGCCCCAAGAGGATTTTACCTATAGTGACTCAAAAATAAATAATTTTAAAAATAAAGTCTTTGTTATAGACATATATTCAGCTTCTCAATCTTAAAGCTTTTCTAATCCTACATTGCTTTGCACTACAAGTTTTAACACCCACATCATATTAAGATCACCTTTAATGATCCTTCCATGTGTAAATTGAAATCATAGGAGACCTAACTTGAATCCCAGCATTGCTTCTGCTCCTTTGTACAAATGTTGTGTTTCAGCTCTCTGAACCTGGGCTCTCTATGTGGGAAAAGGAGGTAAGAGGGAGAGTTTGTGTCAGATCAGGACATCTCGGCTGCGGAGGAGGTAAAAAGATGTCATACTTTGTAATTACCTGGAGAATTCTTTTTCTAATTTTAAAGAAAAGAAATAGAAACAATGAAAGCAATGGTATAAAATTTCAAAACGAGATTGTAGGAGAATAACAATGGTTAGTATATTGCATATTGTTATCTTTAAAGTAGTTGCTCATATTATAAGATATAGGCATGAAAAATTGATCAGGCAATATAGGCATAAACCTTTCCTTTCAATGAGCTAATAGCAATTAGTAGTATATGTATGTGTACATAAATATAAAATATATATAGTATATATATATTTTTTTCCTTTTCCTTTCCACCTTTTCTTCTTTCCTACCTGGGAATTCTTAAGTGTATTCCCATCAGGACTCTTAGAAGTCCTGATTGAGTAGGTCTTAGAAAAGGGCAGAGTAAGAATGCTTTGTAAGAATTACTCAGTATTTATTCACGAGCTCTAGCTTGAAATGAAAGTCACAATCCTTCAGAGCCTTCTCACAGTCACCTATAGACATTGCCCAGGGGAACCCTTGTAAGAGAAAATTAAAATATAATAAAACTTTTTAAAACCCCAGTGATAGGCTCTGGACCCTTTCTAACAACTCCATCTGGACCCCAGATCAATTTGATATGTTATTTCTCTACCACCTGTGCACCCATTCAACTTCTAAGGTTCTTCTTTCTCATATAAATTTATTAGCCATAGCTATTTATATATTCATTCATTCAATAAACGTTTGCCAAAATTTACCCTACCCAAAGCCCTCAGCTCAACAGCAAGAATACATAAAGTTAAGACAGAGTCTTGACATTTGCAGTTTGATTTTTTGGGGTAATAAAAAAATGACTTTGATTGTCCCAGTGGAAAACATTATTTGGAACAGTTCCTTTCCATAAATTCCCCCAGGTGAAATATCAAAGTTATTAAGGAAGCAACATTATGTTCAACTTTTGAAGCATGAAGCCCTGTCTTCACTTGCGTGTGTGTGTGTGTGTGCGAGCGCGTGTGCGTGTGCGTGTTTTACAAACCCACCTGTGGTTTCTACTACTTTCTCAGTGTGGCAACCGAACTTTATAAGCATAACAAATTTGTTTCAAAAAAGATGAAAGAAGGTGAAAAATAAGTGGGTAGGGAAATATGAAGAAGGAGGTAGATGGGAAAGGAAGGAAGAGGGGAATGAGAAAATGTTGAAGGAAGAGAAAGGGAGGACAAAAAGAACTTTAGACACAGTGACTGCACTCAACCTCACTCAAGAAAGAGAAACTAGTTTTCCATAGGGCTGGGTTGAGACTGCTCTCTATGTCTCTGTGAATCCCAAGGTTTGATAGGAGATACCTGAGAATATTCCAGATTCTTAATTTCATGTATCTTCGCTGCCTACAGTTCTATCTATTGTTCTTCACTGCCCTTGGAAAATCACACTCAAGAAACTTCCTTAGAATTTGAAAATAGTACTAGATATTCTTCAACGAGTGTTCATTCTCATTTCTTTTTAAAACCACTTTATTGATTGATATGCAAACACTGTATATTTTGATTTAAACATCTTGAGGAGTTTAGAAGTAAGTACCCAACCATGAGACTATCATCACAATCTATGCTATAAACCTATTCTTTACCCTCAAAAATTTTTCTCCCGCATTCTTATTTAGTTATCTTTTTTCATTTAACAAATATTATGTTAAGATTTACTTTCAGCAATTTAAAAGATCTACAGGACAACGCTGTTAAGTAGTATACTGGGTGGTGCATGCCTGTAATCCCAGCACTTGGGAGGCGAGGAGGGAGGATCACTGTGAATTTGAGGCCAGCTGGAACTACATAGTGAGACCCTGTTTCAAAAAACAAGCCAGAAAAGTTGTTAAATGAGAACTAAATAAGAATCTCAATGGTGTTGAGATTATGGTGTTGGGAAAATTTGAGGATATCATGCAAAATCATGAGATTGACCCTTACACCACATACAAAAATCAACTCAAAACAGATTATAAACTTAAACCTAAGATCTGAAACCATCAAACTCTTAGAAGAAAACATAAGGTAAAGCTTCCTAACATTGGCCTTAGCATATGGATATGACTTGGCTATGACTTTAAGTCACAGGCAACAAAAGCAAAAATAGACAAGTGGGACTGCATCACTATTAAAAGCTTCCACACAGAAAAATGAACTCATTAACAAAATAAGAAAGCAACTTCAGAAGGGCAGAAACTATTTCAAATCATGTACCTGATAAGTGGTTAATACTCTCCCAATTCCAGCAGCCACAGACCTGCTATGATGAATTAAACTGTCCTTAATCAAAGCCAAACCTTGACCAAGCCAGTACCTCCTCAGACAAATATTACATATGTCCTACCTGAATAAATCACCCATTTGAGTAGAACACCACCTTCAACTCAAGGCCCACATCTTCTGATAACTTCTCAAATCACAATTATAAAATATAACACAAACACAACGCTATGAAAGACATTCAATCCCAATTCACAGCATCAATCCAAACCACAGTCCAACTATAGAACTTTCTCCCAACTTCACTCTACCCCAGCTTCATTCAACAAAAGGTACTGTTCCTTTTCTAGAATACACTAAAACATCAGTAAAGCCAAATTCTATAATTATTTACCTCATGTTCATCCCCATTCATTTTCCCACTATTACTCAGTCTCTAAGATCTTACAACCTCCCACTACAACTCACTATCCAAAATCAAGCGACCTTTCATTCCTCCTACAGTTCCCCGCTTGTACTCGGTCTCTTAAACTTAACCCATGATCAAGCTCCCATCGCAGTGGTAACACTACCTAAAATGCTTCATGCTTTTACTTTCCACTATGCCTGGAATAAAAATGACCTTTCAAATTTCCTCTGGCAGAGAAGAACCAGAGGAGATCTTTATGTGATGGACCTTAGGGATAACATTTGCAGCCTATCTGAGCCCAGAAAAGGCTTTAAGTACTGCCCAATATATATGTGTAAGAGTCATCTCAGAAGTCACTGAGACACCAATACTACCTAAAAGATCCCAGAATCTTTGAGAGAAGCCTGTGTTACCTGGAGTTTTTTGAACCAAGATAAGAAGGATGGCAATGATCATTAAATAGGACTTCATAACTGATACGCTGCAAAATGAAGAGCTGTGTTGCAAGTGACTGAAGAGAGACCATTGTAGCAGGACGATTCCTTTCTTCTATTAGTTTGGATGTGAGCCAGGGTTCTGTGCGATGAACTAAAAAGAATGGAAGATACTGAGGTTAATCAAGCAGAAGGATGACATGTATTGCATATTTCAACTCAGAATTTTGCATAAATGTGAAAGATTTTCCTGAAACACTCATGACAAGGTAGGCAGCCTTCCAAGCAAGAAACAAAGACATTACAACCATTGGCATTTTGTGTGAGATAAATTTGAATGAATGAATGACTCAAGCAAGCAATGAGAAAATTAACACTTAACTATAATAAATCACTTTTATACGTGTGTCTTTACTAGAATCCCCTTTACTAAAAGGAAAAGAATGGTAAATGCTATCACAAAATATGACAAAGTATAACACTCTTTAGTAGATTACACACAGGGAAGACCAAAAAAAAAAAAAAAAAAAAAAAAAAAAGAACCTTATTGAAATAGAAAACCTCCAAGCCACAAAGATAAACAAAAAGAGAAGAAACTAAGAATGTGAAAAATATCCAGAAAAAAATATCTACTTAATAGGAGTAAGCCCTTGCCTATCTATAGTGCCTTTGTGTATAAGTGGATTAAACTTTGCAATTAAAGATTTAGCCTGGCTGAATAGAAAAATGAAGAAGAAGCAATATAATATGCTGCCTATAAGAAATTCACCTCACCAAAAAAGATATGCATCAGCTGAAAGTGAAGGTATAGGAAAAGATACTTCACACAGATGAAAACCAACCCACAAAGTGCTAGAAGGAAAGCAATGATAAAGATCAGAAAAGAATACTAAAAATTACAAAAGTCAACAAAACAAATATTGGGGTTTTTTTTTTAAAAAAAAAAGGTAAAACAATACATTTTAAAACTGGACTAAAAAGAAAAGAGAGATGGCCCAAATAGATAAAATCAGAAGTAAAATGGAAACAATACAGCTGATGTCACATTCAAAAACCTTTTTCAGGCTTTTTGTTCTCATGAACACAAAACTTGCCAACCAGCAGCCCTCAGCAATTATATGAATTTTTAAAGTAGCTACCAATCTTAAGGAGAACATTGATACTGATAGTCAACATGTTTGATATCTGTCACGCTGCAAATCAAATCTGGAAGAATGTAGCTCTCCAACGTCAGTGAAAACCAAAATGTCACATGGAAACTCTTTGCTGACTGGAGTCATTACCATTTTCCCAAATTATGTAATTTGTTGTCAGACTCATACCAGATAAGATGAAATATCTAAGAATTTGCACAAGAAAGATTGCTAAGGTTTGGACTGGGGAAATGGAAGTCCCATTGTTTCTATCCAGGGGCTCCTACTCACAGTTTCAGAAATATGAAAATCCCCTAAATGAGAAAATTGAACATGAAAAAGAGCAAAAAAAGCACTACAAGAAATAGAGATTGCTTAGCACTCTGAGAAACTGAGACAGGAAGATCACAAGTTTGAGCCCAGCCAAAGCAACTTATTGAGACCCTGTCTCAAAATAAAACAAATAGAAAAGGGCTGGAGATGTTATTGAGTATGGAGGCTTCGGGTCCAATCCCAGTGATACATACATACACACACATGTGCACGCGCGCACGCACACACACATTCACACACACACACACACACAGAGGATTATCACTACTTCTGCCTTCCAGCTGTACATTTAAATGGCTCTCCATGTCATTTGATCAGCAACATCACTTAAAAGCAGTATAATGAAAATCTGAAATCTTACCATTCTTGTAATAAGGATCAAATAATTCTATAAATAATACAAATGTGCTATCAAAAATTTTATTTTTAACAGGGAACATCTAAGGTAAGCCAAAGAGGCTCACTGAAGTCAACATTACCTAAGACCTGGTAACCATCAGATCGTAAATACCGTTAGTATGATATTTGGATCACCAGAAGGGTTTGCTTTGGCTGAATTGGCACTCAGATAGTGATTGAGGGCTTCCTGAATTACATTATTCCAACGTTTGGAATCCTGAACATTTAGAACCTGATATGGGAATCACTGTGCTTCCTATGGTAATGAAAGAGTTCTGCAAAACCCTACAAGTACCAGTAACATTATTTTTCTTATTTTCCCAGTTTTATGGGCCAGTAGAAAATGAATCTTACCCAAAAGAATTCCTTGGCTAAATTAAGTCACTGGTTGCCAATGCCTTACATTAGTTCTATAAAAGTGAAGGTTAACTGCCTTTAGTAAGCGTGATTTTTCCCTTTTGAATTAATATTCTGAAATGCTACGCATTTGAGCCTAGCGTCTTACCAGACACAGGAAAACATTATTTATTTCCTTCCGTAGGCTCCTTACGCTACCATGTGGCCAGATCATGGAATAACATCCCCACCCCTGGGGAAAGTGTCTCACTAGGAGATAACATCTATATAAAAGTTTTCCAATGACAAGCTGGACTGTCATCCTGCTGACAAGGCTGCTACAGGTATTGCTGATAAGTCATACTATTGTCAAACTGAAAGAGCAATAAGTCAGGGCACGGGATTCACATATGAGATCAGCTTTACTGACTGATGGGCTGCAGCTCTCCAGATAGTAACAGAAAAACACATGCAAGATGAAGAAAAAAGAGCTTCAAACAGACTGGCAACAAGATCGATGGACTGTTGCTTCTTTCTCTTTAGTTATCCCAACCATTAAATTTTTAATATTTTTGTACCAGTTGAAATGGCACCTTATCATTTTAAAACTGAGTTTCTTGTCTTGTGGAATTTTTTACTGACCATACATTTTCCTGAATATGGAGGAAAAGCTTTAGAAATCCTTTTACCTGTCTATAAGGCTTCAGACTCACTGATTGCGGGGAGGGGGGCTTGAATGCAAAAAAATGAAAATTTCAAATCTTCCCACAGACAGAAATCAATATTACCCACATATTAAATAATGTAGTTTGAAATATCACCTACTATTGGGTTCCTCAATAGTACACTAACTGGAAGGATTGTTAATTAATCAAACTGATCATAATTACACACAAATTATATCTCATAAGATCTCAGTTGCTCATTATCTTTCATATCTGATTATCAAAACTAAAGTTTGATGTAAGATGAGGGGGAAAAATATCCAAGCCCAGCTAGTGGAACTGGTTTCTCCAAAAATCTGAAATATGTGCCATGAAATGAGTCTATAATATTTAGAATCAAGCAATCCATAATTAAGTCCCCTAGAAGAATTTAAAAAATCACATTTCTTAACATTACTGCTATTCATATGAGTTCATTTCACCTGTACACAATGTGCTTTAACATTATGGAGAATTTTTCAGCAGAATCTCATTTAAAAATTACTGTTCCATGTCATTACATCAGTAGTTACATTGACCTTACTCTCACATTCTATTTTTTATAATAATTCTTTATCGGACATACTCTGTTGCTCTATTCTTCAAATTATTTTTGTTAGAATATATTTGTTGTACATAATAATTACATTCATTTTGATCATACACATATCACATCTTGATCATTTTTACTTACCTCACCCCGTGATGACACTTCCTATGCTTGCCTTGACAGCATATGCAACACATATGAGTTGCTGAATATTGTGGTAGGAAGGGCACAAACTGAGGCTCTAATTGCAACTCTTATGATACAGAAATATTGACAAATATGATTGTTTTGGAATAACTGTGGAAACATGTAATTCGGGTGAAATCAAAACTAGAATTAAATTGGAGTATAATTTGGAACTGGACTACTCGCTTGATATTTGTTGCCACAATGTAAATGCCAGTGTCTAAAAAGTGCTCAGAGCCTTCCCTTGTGTAAACTAGCAATAACTAGCTATTGGACAGTTCCAATATATACTTTCTAGTACAAGACTACAGCATTGAACCAACTTGTGGGAACAATTAGGCATGGGGTATGGAAGTTAAAGGATGGTTTTAAAAAGGATGACTAAATCATACATCTGAATCTGAAAGTTGGTATTGCGAAGGGAAAATATTGATAATTGAGCCAACATAACAAATGCAACTAAAGGACATCTGCTTTCTACATGTTCACATGGAGCAAATACACTATCATTCAAATGACAAGCACACAGAGAAGCACTTCAAACATTACCATTGATACTGACAGGAGTCAGAGAGGGCCAGTTGAGTGGATTTCTCTCATAATTTGAAACAAACTTAGCCTAGTTCCTTACATGTACCCACCAATGAGCACCTCATAATCAAATTTTAGTTGGTAGAATATTTGTGTCTTATACTGGAAACACTATTTGAGAAGACAGAGCTATTTTATATAGGGTACTGGTTTCACTTTTAAGAATAATATAACTTACACAATTGATTAAATTCATAAGCTTATTTGACCATGCAAGAAAATTTTCTTTTTTAAAAGAGAATTTTAAAGAACAATAAAAACTGTACAGAATTTCAAAACAAGATGATAGGAAATTAACAATGGTTGTTATATTACATATTGTTATCTTCAAAGTACCTCAGATCACCAGATATAGGCATACAAAATTGATCAAACTAAGCATTAACTGTTCCTTTCAATAAACTAAAAGAAATTAGTAGTTTAATCATGTTAGGTATCATGTCTGTATGTGTGTGTGTGCATGTGTGTATATATACATATATATTCCCTTTCCTTCTTTTCTCCTTTGCCCCATCCCAGTTGTTCTTTCTTTTGAGCACTTTCTTTCCCTTTCAGAATATCTATTGCAGGCTGAGGATATAGTTCAGCAGCACAAGCGCCTGCCTAGCAACAGCAAGGTCCTGAGTTTGATTCCCCCCTAAAAAATCTATTGTACCTTTTGTATCTTATATACTCTTGCAGTTTCTTACACTTGGGAGACAATATGATGTTTACACACGTAAAGCTGACTTATTTCACTTATAAGTATGGTCTCTATTTGCATCTATTTACCTATAAGAGACTTGAGTTTATCCTTCTTTATAGCTGAATAATGC